CTGCTCTTGTCTGCCATGATGAAAATGTAAAAATGTAAAAGGAAAAAGGCAAGTGCTGCTGAGGTCAGACTAGGTTAGCTGCTGCCAGAGTTTCCAATGGATGATTCTGCTTAACTGTTTTAAAAAAGCCTCTAAAAAAGTGCTCTCTACAGGAGGAGGCGAGAGAACCAAGTGCCTCATCCACATAAGGAATTTTTCGGCTTTTAACCCTTGCTTAACTCTGCTCGAGTGATCATAAAGACAGACTAAATGAGGCACGTGGTTCTCCTGCCTTCTCCTGTAGAGGGCACTTTTTTAGAGGCTTTTTTAAACAGTTTAGCACTAAATAGAGTCATCCACTGTGACTCTGGCAGCAACTACCTCAGCCTTTTTCCTTTTAATTTTTTCTTTTCTTTTCATGATGACAGTGGTGAGGCCCTGCCTCCCCTGACTGCACATCACTGCTGGGGGCATACAATAATCCAATAAAACTGCATATATAAAAGTCACATTAATATATAAAAACTCAGGGCTAAAATATATATTAATTAAATTTATATGGCCACTCAATATTTTTTAGCTATAACTGATAAATCCAGAAAGAATGGTCATGCATCACTGATCATAGAATACTGGATTTATAATCCTAAATATATATTAAAAAAAACAGGCTTTCTTTCCCTGTAAAATACATACTGCACAGATGGCTATGGAATACTAATAAAACAAGGATGGGTATATAACCTGAGCAAAATTTAATTATCCCAAACCATACCTCTGTTCTTCCAGATTTATAAGGGCCTTTATAAAGATACCCTAACATCAATGTCTGGGTTACCTTAAAGTGCTGACCCTCGGTCTTTACCATCTATGGTCTTGGTGGGGGTGTGTTAGATTGGGTTGTATTTCCCTAGAAAGAAAATGTTTAACTGTATTGGACAATCCCTTTTTCCATAATTGTAGTCTATTGGTCCTACTATTAGCTGAATTGTGAATTGGAATTGCTATTTTAATTAACTTTTATTCAGTACTGTAAGGAGTAAAATTCAAAACTCAAAGTTGTTGGAATACAAAGTAATTTTATTGAAGTTTTGCAAAATCTCGTGAATCCCAACACACACAGGTAAGAGATCACATCCAAATAATGAAAAAACATACTTTGACAATCATTCTACCACCCATCCCTCAGTTTATACCACATCCTTCCTTTCCAGGCTTAGTTGATAGGCCCAGTCTGGTCACATGCTTTCTGACCGCCTATAAACTACTATCACTCCTAAATCTTTAAAGTTAGCCAAGCCCTTATTGTCACCCAAACTTGCTAAGCATTCACCCCCTCTCATGTCTCACTTCTTTGTTATTCCCTTATTGGTTCCTCTCAGGGGTGGGTTCCAGCAGTCACTACTGCCGGTTTGCTTGTGCATGCATCATGCGCGCTTTGAATGCATGCACAGTGCAATATAAATTGTTATGTGCATGCACAGAAGCAAAAACAAGATGGCTGTTTCTATGGTGCCGCCCAGAGAACTGGTTCAGGGACGTGGCAGGCCTGAGTTGCTGCCGGTTCCAGCAACCTAGGCTGCCAAACCACTACCGGTTCAGACGAACCAGTAGGAACCCACCACTGGTTCCTCTATTTCACAAGAATTGCAGCACAGCCATGGAAAGAACATTTCTCAAGTGAAAAAAACATGAGGGGGTGGGGGTGGGAATCAAAGCAGATATATTCTCAGCCTGCCCAACCTTGGCTTGACTATTTTCTTTGTTCCTAGAGGCTTGACAACAGCTAAAAATGCTACCATGTATTAAATGCTCTCCTGCCAGTCCTGGAATCAAGGAGATAGAGAAGAGGGGGTAGGGGGCCTTTTAAGACTGATAGGAAATTATCAGTAAGAAAATTTAAATATGCCTATAGTGTGGCTATATGTTAAGTTACTTACACTAAGTAATTTGAACAAAGGATAAACCTTATATAAACTATAAAATAGGCATTAAATGGAAAATTACAGTTTATTATGTTATACCCCACAGTACGGAGCTTTCACTCTGTAAATATGGTAAGCTACTAGAGCCGTGATGGGGAACCTATGGCACGTGTGGCACCTCCCCCCCCAGAGGAAATACCAAGCTCAGCTTGGAGGCAAGTAGTGTGGCGCATGGGGGGGGGAGAGCGTGGGGGGGTTGTGCGCACATGCACATGTGGGGCGCATTTTGCATTATGCACGCATGCTATTGTGTGTGCCCCCTCGCATTTTTGGCACCCAACAACAAAAAGGTTAGCCATCACTGAACTAGAGTCTAGATGGTTTTAGGATGTAGACAAATTTAATGAATAAATAAATACATAAATAAATAAATACATAAATAAATAAGCACAGCAGTTCTTAATTATATGATTCCAGTATATTTTACCATCTTCCTTTTCCCCTTCAACAATCAAAATATATTCCCCACTGGACTCTTCTTACTTGCCCATTCCATTTCGTCCTCTTTAAAAAAAGGTTAATAACATCTCACCAGGTTGCCCATCTGCCTCTCCTTTGATACTAATACATAATTAAGGTAAATAGCTGTGAATATATTTCTTGACAAACGGTTATTAGTGGTGATACTGTAGCTTACAGACACCTGACTCATCTGTACAAAAATAATTGTCTCTAGTGATCTAGACAAGACATTTGAATGGTTTAATATTAAAATTCCTGTAAAATCCTAGATTTAGATCTGTTTTGTTTCTTTTTTTTTCAGATAGGTTTGGGGAGATGTAGAATTCCACAAGGTGCAAGAATAATGTCAACAAGTTTGGAGTTTGTTGTATCCAATTAAATTCTTGGAGAACATTAAAGGGATATACTGTAGTTATAATGGATGGAGGGCACATTCTGTTAAGCACAGGAAATCAGAAGTCAAGGCAGGAATATAAAGGTTTATTGCAAGCTTATGCTCTCTACAAGAATCTAAATTACTAATGGTCAAAGGAAATTGATGGTAGATAAGAGTAAATGGACTTCATGGTGGACTCAACTTAGATCTTTGTGGTAGTGGTGGATTCCTACCAGTTCAGCCCAGTTCAGCCAATCTGGTAGTGGTATGGCAGTCTGGGTCACTGGAACCAGCAGTGACCCAGGCCTGCCACGCCCCTGAACCAGTACCCTGGTCGCTGCCACCATCTTCTTTTTGAGTTCTGCGCATGTGCAGAACAATTTTAATTGAACTGCACATGCGCAAAGCTTGCCTCAAGCGGACCAGCAGTAAAGCCAGCCGAAACCCACCTCTGCTTTGTGGATGTGAAGGGATTCAAGACTGATGATGTGTTTGACCACTCTCTCAGCCTCAGCCTAGTCATCTACACATCCATGGCTTTGTTTGCCTTCTTTTTCTCTTACAGGTTATATCCTGTATCAAACATTTATGAAAGTTAGATTTATTCAATTATAATATGTATGCATGCTTATTTTCCAGTTGGTTAAGCTTAGCACAATTTGATATGTTTGGTAAATATATATAGTATCAGAGTTCAGATGTATTGGAATATAAATTTTAGTAAATTTTAAAAGACTAAGAGTATAAAGGGCAGTAAAATCAATAGCAACTACTCAATGGCTTAGTTAACTTTCACTATTCCAGACAGCAACTTGCCTTAAATACCACCTTCTGACTAATAACAGGAACCTGGGTCCTTCCTGTTTTGTGTGCAAGTATTTAAATAGTTACTAGACTTTTGATCTGATCTATGATGGTGGTTGGTTGGTTAAATAATTGAAACGTCCACCCATCTCACTTCCATAACTCTGAGCAAGAATCCAAAGAAAAAAAACATTTAAAAATATAACTGATCTTTAAAAAACTTGCATCGTGCAACTATCTAGTGGAGTTAACTCATCTTCTAGGGTGTTGGCTATTCCCCCAGTATGGTGTTGTCTGAAAATTTGATGAGTTTTCCTTTTATCCCCTCATCTAAACAGATTGT